TCACCTTCAACCAGGGGGACCTAGATGACACCCCAAACGGTACTGGAGCACACCACGCTGGAGAACCGCAACGGCCCCCAGTCAACGGCGTCTTCCTGCCAGGGTGCTCCCAGGTGCTTTCCAGGAGCCGTGAGGAAGATGACCCTACTCAGAAGCTGCCCACCTGGAAATGGTTATAGCCAAGGTTAGGAGAAAAGGAACAACATTAGGGAGCTTTACACCCTATGCAGCACTACCTGTTTTAGAAGCAATAACGCAGAAATTTTCCTTTAAAGGAGTCTTAAAACAGAGTTGAGATCTTGTGGATTATCTCAGAGATCCTGGCACACACATGGGTCATCACAGGGAGGGAGGCAGGACACTAACGGCTCAGTTAAACCACAGCTCCTGCGGTCCCCAGGGCTGGGCAGAGCTGAACTGCCTTCCGACAGCTACAGCTGTGTTTGATCCCACACAGAGCACGCTGCACCCTGCTCCCATCCCCAGCTCCTCAGCTGACAACGTGCCTCACGTCCATGGATGAGGCACATCCACGGCAAAGACAGACCTCTCAGAGAAGCCACTTTGGTTATTTTAAAAGGAGAAACAAGCAAGGAGACACAAAGAGAAAGAGAGATGTAAGAACTGCTAAAGACACCATCGGAGAAAAAAAAAACATATTAATATCCAGAGTAAAAAGAATAAGGAAATTTAAAAAGAAATCATAATTTTGATGACTTGAAAAAAAAAAAATCCCATTATCAGGCAGGTTAAATAAAGAAACCGCAGGAAAGATTAAATAAAATTCTTCGAGGGAGGGAGGCGGTAGGGGAAAAAAAAAAAAAATCAATTCCTAAGCAATGCCTGAAGTTTGGCAGGCAGAAGTCAGTCCTCACCTTCTCTATAAAACAGCCTGGAGTGAAACAGGTCTTGGGTAAGTGAGGGAGATGGCTGGAGGAGAGGGTGCTTCCCTCCACCCCAGCCGGGTGCCGGGGCCACCAGGACCCAGCACCGCCAGCAGAGACACAGTCATGCTTGGAGAAGTAATCTCCTCCCCAGGTAAGGAGATTTTCATTTTAATTTTGCACTGGTTGCTTTACAGAGGATATGTCAGCTGAATGAGGGGAGTTAATATAATCAGATATAGCTTAGCACAGCAACAAATACATCCAGCAGAGAAAATAAAGATAGGCAGGGATAATTTCACTAGACCTCCCTCGCTTCCTATTTCTCCATTCCTTTCTCTTCCTGAAAAATCACATGTATTTTTAACACGTGAAACAGGCATATTTCAAAACAGCAGGTTAACACTGATGGACAGAAGAGCCATATGGGAACCTACAAAGGACTAACCTCCTTTCAGTCATATGTTTTCTGTACTGCCCTCATCCTGACAGTACAAGAATGCTTCTGTCGGACACGCTGCACCTCTCGCAGGAGTGCCACCCTTCTTCCCCATCCCCACCGTAGGTGAAGCAGAACCAAATTAAACTTTTGGTCAAAAGAACTTTTGATCAAACAAAAAAACCCACCACTCCTGAAGCTAAAGAAAGTACACGTTGCCAACACCACCAGGACTGTCTATTTTGGGTAAGCTCTCTAGGAAAACAAAATAATTCAGTCTCAAGTGGACCCAACATCTCAGGCTTTCCTGTTTCCTTGGGTTTTTGGGGGAGTGCTTCCTTCTTTCCCCCCTTCCCCCTCTCTTTAGCCACTTCTTGGGCTTTTACTTTACTGGAGTTAAATGATGGTGGCCAAGACCCTGAATTTGGCTATTTCCATAAACACAACAACTAGCTTGGCATAAAACCTCTGAGAAGAATCACATGTTGGCAGCGAGAGGACCAGCAGTAGGCACTGACCCTCCAACCTTTGCTTAGTGGAGCTCTCAGGCTTTTCAAGGGAAGATGCTCCCCACAGTTCAGACTGACTCCACTATATTATCCTTTTGTCCCCACGGTCTACTTGAAGAGGTGAGGCAAGAGTTGCTAAAAAAGCTTGTGGGTGGCTTGAAGAGTTGGTCTACGAACACTGCCACATTGCTTTTTTTACCTGCTGGAGTCTGGTTTTTTTTGCACATCCAGCACGTCACCATTGCTGGATCCTTTTCAGAGCAGGAAAAGCATCGAGTTACATGCTTAATCACTTATAAGTCACAAGAAAATGATCAAAAGTACTAAACATCATATCGCTTGAAACTCCACATAGGTCTACGTTCCACCCTGATGGGGTCTAAGGCAAACCAACATTGGGTTTTCTGTGTACCCATAGACACACACAGCCCTCGAGCGCTCTCTGACAGGTTAGCCATAACCAGCAGCGAGGATGTGGTAGCAGCTGCCCTCCAGATTAGGGCAAACAAGTGGGAAGCCCCTTTTTGTGTTTCAAGTTGTGAGTTGTTCTCAGACTTCTTTCCAAAGACTTAAATTTCAAATACAATTCTGAGCCTTCACATTTCCAGGAAAAAAAAAAAAAGAGAGGAAAAAATAGATTAAAACATGATGTTATGGAAGAGATCTCACCATTTTTCGGAAGGAAACTCCTCTTTGACGGATGCCTCCACTATCCAACAATTGGGAGAAGTCAGTATCTGCACTCAGGCTTGCCCTGGATTATGTCTATTCTTGGAAACTCCAAACGTGACCACACATGGGTCTAACCAGTCAAGAAAAGCCCCAAGAGCCACCTTTGATCTTCCTGTTCTGTAAGTCCACACATCCTCAATAACGACAGAGGAAAGAGAAGTAAACTATTTCCAACATTTCCCATTTTCCTCAGAAAGCAGTACTGATACAAACATTTGAGTTCTCCATCTCTCTTCTTTGAGACCTTGTTAGCAACATGCCTTAATAGCTTAGGCACCAGCATGAGTTTGAACTGCACTTTGGATTTATGCTCAAGCCCACCACCCCTGCTCAACTCTGCTTTAAATGGCCAAGCGTGACACGCTTGCGTGTGGATACAACCTGGCATGCTGGTCAGTAAAAGCCCTCTAGTTTCTTGATCTCAGTACAAGTCTCTCTCCATCATCGGCTTTATCATAGGCAATTGAAGCCAATTTCTAATGTCCTTTTCACCCCTATTGCTGCCTAAGAGCCATTGCCTTGGACCTGCAAATGTCCTCCACGTCTCCCTTTGCACTCTCCCTGTTCTCTGGTTACAAATAGAAAGCTTTTCCCAAATTAACTTGAAAATGTAATCTTCATGTCTCCCTGTCAAAGCACAGTTGTAGGGAGCATCTCCCTAGAGGAGAAAGGGTAAATGATCTGTTAACTTTTTAAGCATGGATAAATGTGAAAGCAGTTCCCAGACCCCAGAGTTAACACCTGGGCAGAGAAAAACATGCATCACTACTTGACAGATAACTGAAAGTTACACTGATGCTATGTGGCCCGCCCAGCTTTACATGGAAAGTAAACTTCACTGGAAAAGTAAATTCGGGTCCTCTGCCCTGCTGCAGTGCCAGGGTGTGATACTCCTCGTCTTCTCCATCACTCCAAGACCATACATTTCCGTAGGAGTCAAAGCCAGCCAGGCTCTCTGTTCATGTTTCCCTCCTAACATACCTCCTGCAAGCAGGATTACATCCTGCCCACAGTCCCTAGGAGTAAGAGCAGCCCCAGCTGCACACAGGGAAGGATGTTTGCAAACCCTGCCACTGCTTCCACGCCACGGGGCTGGAGGTGCTGCTGCGCAGGAGGACACTGTCTCCCTGCAAACCCTTGCTGGACCCTCAGATGTGGCTCAGCTGATTACAGACTCGATTGGGCTCAAATGCTTTGAAAGGCCACAGCTATCCTGCCAGGAGCAGAGCACTCCTGGGGTGTAAACCACCCAAATAAAACCAAAAGCTTCACCAGCTCCTCTGATGCAGCAGCTTCCCATCAAGCAGCTGCCCGGGTCGCAGCACACATCAGGCTGCCAGCTGAGCAAGAGCGAGACAGCTCCCCAAAAGCATCCAAGTAAACACAAGTTTGTATTCAAACCTGCATTTGAAAAACAAAGGCTGGGGCATTGACGGGCCTGGGCAGCCAGCACAAGTTGTGAGCTCGGGAAACTGCTAGGCAGGAGCACAGAACTCCCCCATAACCCTTGAAGCAAGCACCCCTCCAGCTTGCACCCTCCTCGCGTCCAAGACGGAATACAGCAGGGTGGGCTGCCCGTGCCACAGCGCCCAGCACAGCCTTCGTGCCGAGCAATCAGTTTCTGGGGCAGAACAAGAAAAAGCATTAAAAATCCAGCTCTCCCAGGCTGCAGGTAACAGATAGCGGAGCAGATCCTGCCTCAATTCTTGGCTTCTGTACTGAAAACACCCCCCAACAAATGCAGTTTGAGGCCACAGCTAAAACAAATAAGAATCATGATGTAGGTCTGAAGAAAATAACCTTTTTCTGCACCCCATCCCAGATTTCCTGGGTTCCTCCAGGAACCAGAGCTCACATCCACGCTCATAGCTGGTATCACAGTAAACAAGAGGGAAATTAAAAACATCACACTATAAAAGATAGTTACAGAAAAAAATCCACCCAGATACTTTTTCAGGGCAGCTGTTGCACTAAAAAACTTTTAAGTTTCCTGTGCAAAGTGAACTCGGGAAACAGAAATGCATGTGAAGTAGATGGGAATCATTATAGAATAAAAATCAGCCAGATGTTTTAAACATGTTCTATTTTAAACATGCTCTACATGCTGCTTACCTTGCCCTTCAAGAGGCACCCAGGTGAAAAGTATGAGTGACAAAAACAATCCATTTGAAGGACAACTTCAGATAAATAAACCAGATCAAGCACAAATTGGCTCCCTGGGTCCGAGATCAGCCCAGCAGCAGAGCAGAGGGCACACACAGTGCCCATTACGAACAGCCCCTTCCAGATTCCCCCATCGCTCAAGAAATCTCCGGCGCACAACAGCACGTCCCGTGTGAAGAATGCCATCCGCTTATATACTGCTTGGTAACTGATGGCAAGAGTATACACCAGAGTCCAGCTCTTAATGGAAACAAGGCAAAATAATTCCCTTACCTTCCGTGAAGCTGCCTGTAAGGGTTATGACGACAAACACTTTGCCTTCTGGCTCCAAATCCACCTGAAAAAGTAAAGGAAACGTTAGAAGATTGTTCTTCAAGGCAAAGACTCTTCTTGGGATTTTGCATGATAAATCTTGCCAACATTTGATAATATTTGAAGCTCTCTATATATTCTCATGCACACCCTTAATTTTACAAAAAATCAAGCATCTATGGCTCAAATTGGTCAACATCCAGGGCTCCATAAAAAATAAGGAACCTTATTCCTTCTTTTTCCTAGAAGTGCTGAACAATGTCAACCTTGCTAGAGGAAACAGAGATTAAAGAAAAAAAAAAAGTATGGTTAATAGCGTTCCAATTTGTCAGATAAATGAAGCCCGAGTAACATTAAATACATGCAATTCTCTGAAAAGATCCATGCATATCCGTTTGGTGAATTATATGGGTATTTCCTCCCTATTATATCTTATCCCACCAAAATTGTTTCAATCTTTCAAAACACCACCAGTGCTGGGGTAAACACTGATTTCTTACATAAATCACCTTTTGGCCTTACACCATAGAAAATAGGAAACTGTTAGTGCTGTTACCTGAGGACTTGTTGTTGTTTAATCTAAATTACATAGAGATACAGAATATAATTTTAGGGATCAGCGATTCAATCCCAGTGTCGGTCAACCTGTCCTTGAAAGAAAGTATTTGGTTTTGGGTTAGTAGATTTTTTCATTTTTAGTTACATTTTTCATTAAGGTCTTGCTTTCGGTTTTTTTTGTTCACCAGCTAGTTTTTAGCAAAAATCACACCTAAGGATCCCTGAAGTTTGAGTCAGGCTGTTGCACAGAAATTTCACTTTAAAAAAAAAAAAAAAAAAAAAGAAAAAACCACAAGGCACCCCCCCATAAACCCCCAAATTGCAAGGTTAAAATTAACAAAGACGACCTTCACACCTCGTGGGTATCGATAATCTGTGCAGAAGAGAAATTCTGAAAATAGAGCTCTCTGGAGGAATGACTAAACATGATTGTTCAAACCCTCTCTGCTCTTGTACAGCCACCTTTCCTTGGTCTGGCAGAAACAGAAGCAAGTCTTCTACGTCAGCAGCACCGAGTTTCATCACGGAGGTGCCCAGAATTTAATACACCTTGGTGTGCACACTGCGGAGTAGAAAAGTATTTCCCGATCCTGCAAGAAAGGATGATGAGCCCAGGCTCCCTCTTTTTTCTCAGGTAACACACGATGTATCCCTCTAACACTCCAGTGTTAACACATATCACATCATTCAAATAAACCTCTAACCATAAGCCTAAGCTCCCGGAGCAATAGTGTATGGACCATCACTAATCCAGACAACATTTGCCCGTGGTTTGCAAAACCCTGCCATGCACCCACAGGTCCTTTTAAAAGAATAACATTAAGATACGGGTAAAAGAGAAAAGTTGAACTCTATATATCTAAGGGAGGAGCCAAACAGCCATGCTACAAATGGACAGAAAGTATCTGCACGGCTGTAAGTAGGGGAAGAAGGCGTCCAAGCCAGACTGACTCTGCGGTGTTAAGGTATAGCAGCGCCTTCTCCACTCCTAGGGTGCTAACTGCAGCTTCACTAACATGAGCCGAGAGAAAACAATCTTCTGGGGTAGTGCAGGGGAAGCAGAGACAGCACACACCATCACCACACGTTTCCCTAGCCTACAATTTGTTGCAGAAGTAGAGAAATTGTTTTTTAAACTATTGGGAATTTGTTAGGATCAGCAGAGCAAATATTTTCAGAGAAAGGATGAGAGAACATCCTATTCACAGGACTCCAGCTACAGTCCAGAAGTGACACATCTCTATCAATGGAGTACAAAACAGGAAAGCTAGAACTGCTTGGGAAAATCCTATCAAAATGTTGATTTTATGGACACTGTATTTTCCACTAAAAAAAAAAAAAAAACAAACCTAATCAATCTCACAGGGAAAATTTAAATTAAATATTTAGCTTTGACTCAGTATTAATTTTTGTGTTTGCTTGGGCTGCTTACTACACTGCTGTTGGAATAGCCCTCTGTCTTCATTAATATGGAAGACATTCCCCAAATAAGCTTCAACTCCAGCAATATCATGCATCATTCTTGCCTAAATTTCCATTCACTGGAGAGATACACAGCTTTGTAAAGAAATGGTTCTTTCAAAAATATGTAAGATCTATTTTTTTTAATATATATATATATACACACACACACATATATATATACACACATACAGTCACCCAAATTGATTTATGGGATATCAAGAATTCAGATTTTATGGGAAAATCCTTACTTACTTAGGTTTACCAAAATCATTATTCAGCGCTCATCATTTTTCTGCCAGTCTCCATACACAGCAATACAGTAGCTCCCGCTTTCACATTCACAAAGAGGATCCTTACTCCCTTCTTCTGCCATACATGGTCTCCAGTGGGATACGGAGCAAATCCTGCACTCCTCGTTTAGTCTTAAAAGCAAAGGCTTGTCAAGACACAAGCAGCTGGGTCAAGACCAGGAGATGCAACAAAAGCATTATCCACCTTCAACACAGGGCACAAACAAAAATTGGTCCAAACTCTGTGACACACCTTGCTCTCCACCACTGCAAATGGGATTCCTCTGCCCAGGGTAGCATAGTCTTAGAAAAGAGAAACAAAATAATTCTGAAAGTAATAGCAGGAGATTTATGAGAGTTGTAAAACAATCTCTCTCCCCTCCAGACTCCAAGATTAAAGACCAGTCATATCCCCTACACCAACTAAGCTGCCACGCTCATATTATACCACCATTCAAAAGCACTGAATAAAGAGGATCTAGCTACACTCAAGATCTTCTCATAGCACATGTTAGCAGGATCTAATGAAAAATTACAGCTGAAAGGCTCCAAAATGAGGACTGAAGCCCCAGCATGTTATGAGCTCCTGAAACTTTCGGACACCAGCACCCCACTGGATGCAGGGCTGATAGTGAAATCTTGTCCTATAGAAGAAGTTAAACCAGACAGTCTTATGAGTTTCTCTGGTCTTAAATTGATAGCAACAGCAACAACAGAAGATAAGATACAATGAAATTAAATAATTAATAAACCACTAATAGAAGTTTGCCTTTTGGACCTGCTGTGATCTCCTTTAAAGATGAAATTTGACTAGCTAAGCAGCAGCCAACGCAGTATCTGAGATCAACTCCCAGATACGTGGAACGTGCCTGAAACGGAAAATAATCTCTGACCTAGAAAACCAAAAGAAAAACGTCTGACTGCTGACCTGCCCGAGATCAGACGATCGAGCAGCTCCCGGACAGCAACATTCACCCGACGAGACGTACTTCCTCCCGCCATCGCACGGACCCCTCGAACCACGGTCACACAGCGTGGAGGGGCCTCGTGCTGGCGGCAGTTAACTCCTGTGAGCTCCTCACACTTGCCGGACCACAACGCGCAATGCCCATGCAGCCAGACGGATGCTCACATGCTGAGCCGGCGTGCACAGCAAGCAGCTTGCTAAGCCTGGGCCCCGGGGCTAACCTCAGCCATCCTTGCAGCACGGTTCCCCATGTTCCTGCCCCTGCTTTACACCTTCATTACTGCCCTCACGCTTTGCGGTGCAGCTACAGAAATAGCACATGCTTCGGGATAGCTTTACCGACCCAGCAAGCAACTGCAGCCACATTTGGGCATGCAGAAATATGCCCATAACCATCTGAAACCAGATGCCCACAAATGAGGAGTGTGGTACCCTACTTCTTCCCCAAAAGGAGGAACTCCTAATATAAGCCCTCCTTCAATCTCTTCAGTCACTACAGAACTTCTACCACTAGCACCTACTTTCACAGACTGAGAGGACTTCTCGCTATGCCCTGTTATTTCATAAGATTCGAGCACTCCAAGACGAAGCAGCTGCCAAAGGACTGGCCCTCCAGCCATGAAAGGGATAACCCTACCCAGCGACGGCTGGCTGCCGGCCCAGGCCCTGACTGCACGCCGGCAAGGCTCCAGCGATGTTGGTACCTCCCAGCATCAGCGAACACCCTCGGGATCCAGCCTCACACCACCAGTGGGTGTAACACAAGTACCACGCACACGCCAAGTTTTGCTTCTCACTTCTTTTCCTTCTCCCCAGCATTGACCATGGCTGCTTAAAGGCAAAAAACTATGTTTTTACAGAGAAGCAGAGGCCACATAATGGACAGAATTATTAAAGTCCAAAGCAGACCATGCAATCAGTTTGTATCAACAATGCAGCTGATGCTGATCTTCTTTCTCAAAGAAAGCAGGAGAGGCTCAGAGAAGCTCAACAGCCTGAAGGCAGCACAGATGATGCTAAGGGGGAACTTCTGTATCATAATATAGGAGATAAGTGATACAGGAATGTAACCATCTGTATGTATTTGACAACAATATTGAAAGAGTAATAAGTACAGAGAAAAGTTTCCTAATGCCAAGATCTATCTGGCACAGGATAACTTCTTTTAGGGAATCGCAGAATTCTGCCTGGAAGGTTTAGTATCAGAGCAGGAGATGCACCGCAGTGGGAAAAGTCCTGTTGTATTGGGAGAAGCAAAGGAGAAGTCTGAAGTTTTATGCATGCATGATTTTGCGAATGCAATGAGGTACACTGATCTCCGAATAAATCAAACTAAACTGGCGACGTGCAGCATCACACCATTGGCACGCACAGCTGTAAACAGCAATCGCCCTCCCCTCTCTTTAGCACTTTCATCCTCAGCCTGGTCCCCCAGAGAACAACTGGGAGGAAAAACATTGACTTTCTGTCTGTTTTAGAGCTAACTTGGCCACGTTTTAGCTAACCGGGAGAGGAAAGTGTGCTTATCAGTGTAGTAAAGCCTTTAATCGCCACTCTCTTCTAGTTCAAGGAAATGGAAGACAGCACGTTCCTCCATAGCACAAAGGGTGGATAAGATCAACTGCTGGAGCTCAGGAACCCCCTTTGTATTTGTAACAACACCACAGGATTTTGGCCCAGAGCTAAGCATACACTTTAACTTTTGTTGAACTTCACAGCCGTACCTAAGAGAAAACAAGTGCTGGA